ATGTGGTAAATTCCAGATTCATTGTAAGTATTTTTGTTTGCAATTATCCTTCAATCCGTACTTAGATCCCACAGAACCCTTCCTGCTCTGATTGAATTGAAACATTGATCTCTTTGCTTTGAAAACTACTGCATAAATGTGTGAATTTCTGATTTTGATTGTGGAGACTTTCATTGAAAATTGCTTGTGTTCTTCCTTGCCGTTTCCTTCTTATTACTTTAATTTATTTTACAATATATAATTAAACAAGGGCTTTTTTAGTGAATAATCAAAAAAAACAAATTTAAATTAAAAAAATAGGATATGTCACAAATTGTAGCCATTGGATTTAGGATTTTTTTTAGTTTTCAAAGTGTAATTTTTTTTTGTTGTATATTTGGCAAATTTTCCTATTAAACAAATCAATACTTGCCGACCAAAAAAAAAAAAACAAATCAATACTTCATTTGGATTTTTATATTCCGAAGAGAAACAATTGTGTATAAAATATAAAGTAGAGACAAATACATAAAGCTAATCAATGAAAGTGGAAAAAAAAGTCTCTCTCTTTTCTTCTCATAATCAAAAGCTGTTTCCATCCATTGACCAAACAAAGTCCTCTCCATTTCTGTGAGATCTTTTCATTTTCTCAGTCTTGATCTTTACTCTAATGGATTCTTCTTTTTTCTACACGATGTGTGCTGCTGCAACATCTTTCTTCACTCTTTTTGTTACACTGTTTTTCTTGTTTTACAAAAATTTCAGATTCCGTGAAAATAACAAAACAGAAAATTCAACTTCTTCATCTCTTTTGCCTCCTCTGCCTCGTAATCGGACACACAATGTCTTCACGAGCTTCCACGGGGCAGATGTCCGAAAAAACTTTCTTAGTCATCTTCTCAAGGAGTGTAAGAGCAAAGGAATCGACCCATTCATTGATAACGAGATCACTAGAGGAGAATTTATCGGCCCTGAGCTCAAAAAGGCCATCCGAGGATCGAGGATCGCGATTGTATTGCTCTCGAAAAAATACGCTTCTTCGTCGTGGTGTCTTGATGAATTGGTGGAGATTATGAAGTACAATGAAAATTTGGGTTATACGGTGATGGTCATTTTCTATGAAGTGGATCCATCTGATGTCAAGAAGCAGACCGGAGATTTTGGGAAAGTCTTCAAGAAAACTTGTAAAGGRAAAACAAATGAAGTTATTGGAAGATGGAGTCAAGCTTTGGCAAAAGTGGCCACAATCGCTGGTTACCATTCAAGCAACAGGTTCGTCCTTTTGATTTTTACTTGCTCTGTTAATTTTTATTACAACATTTATAAACTATATACATTTTGTAGCTTTTAAACAATATGCAGCCAAGAAATCGTCGAGATATTAGTTTTGTAGATGTGATGTTTTTTGGATGACTATTTAACGGATGTATTCATCTCCCGCTTTGTAGTGAAAATGACGTGAAATTGATCGAAAAGATTGTCACTGATGTTTCGGACAAGTTGTTTAGTTCCACGCGATCAAGGGATTTCGATGGCTTTGTGGGAATAGGAGCTCATATGGAGAAGATGGAGCAGGTTTTAGATTTAGGCCCAGCTGGTTTGGATGAGGTGAAGATGATTGGGATTTGGGGGCCTCCTGGGATTGGCAAGACCACCATCGCCAGATGTGTATTTAACGAACACTCTGGCAGTTTTGATTTGAGTGTCTTTCTGACGAATGTCAAAGCAATGTATACAGCACCAGTTTGTTCAGATGATTATGATTCAAAGTTGAATTTGCAGCAAAAGTTCTTGTCTCAAATAACTAACCAGAAGGAGGGTTTCAAGATTACTCATTTAGGAGCTGCAGAAGAAAGACTGCATGACAAGAGAGTCCTTGTTGTTCTTGATAATGTTGATCAGTTAGTCCAACTAGAAGCCCTGGCAAAAGAATCTTGGTGGTTTGGCCATGGAAGTCGGATTATRGTTACAACACAAGATCAAAATCTTTTGAYGGCYCATGGGATCAATCACGTMTACAAGGTGGGTGTTCCTACTAATTCTCTTGAAATCTTCTGTATGTATGCTTTCAAACAAAAATCCCCTGCAGCTGGTTTCGAGAAGCTTGCCTGGGAAGCTACAATTCTTGCCGGTCAGCTCCCTTTGGCACTAAGGGTTATTGGCTCCTCTTTCCGGGGAAAGAACAAGCAGCAGTGGGAAGATGCACTACCAAGACTAAGGAGCAGCCTTAATGGAGAAATTGAGAATATTTTAAAGTTCAGCTACGATGCGTTATGTGAGAGAGATAAAGATTTATTCCTTCATTTAACTTGCTTTTTCAACTCTGGAACTGTTGAGTCACTAGAAAAGTATATTGCCAAGACGTTCTCGGACTACAAGCAAGGGCTTGACGTCTTAGTTGATAAATCTCTCATAACCATCCGCTCGGGATATCTAGACATAAATAGTTTGCTAGTCCAGCTGGGAAGAGAAATTGTGCGAAAAGAATATCATAGTGAGCCTGGGAAATATTCCGTTCTTACGCCTGGGGAACGCCAGTACTTGTTTGATGCAAGCGATATTTGTGAAGTACTCAGTGATGATACAACAGTAAGTTTTGATATTGGTATTTTCATTGCATTGCTCCCTATAAATTGAGTTTATTTGATAACTAATCTATATTGATATTTTAATTTGTGTTCTTTTTCAGGATAGTAGCAGTGTTACAGGACTATATCTCGAGTTATCTAATATGGAGGACGACGAATTGTATTTAAGTGGAAGAGCCTTTGAAAGAATGTCAAACCTCAAATTCTTAAGAATCCAGGGTGATTGCGATAGATTCTACTATCCACAAATTCTGAACTCCATATCTCGAAAACTTAGACTACTAATTTGGCCTAGTTTCCCGATGCCATGTTTGCCTACTAATTTTGATCCCAAGTCCTTGGCCATCCTACGCATGAAGGGGAGCAAGCTTGAAAAGTTGTGGAAGGGAAGTAAAGTAAGCAAACTTTTTAATTTATCTAACATTTGTTTAATTTCTCAGATTGACCTCGAATCTCTAAAATAAAATCTTACTAACCGCACTGTTCACTAATCTAATCTATCAA